TTTTTAAAGTTCCAACAATCAGTTAGCTGTTAAGATTCCTTACGGCTGCATATAATATTGTTAGCTTATTTTTGGATCTATTACGTATATGTGATATTAAAAAAAGGTGATACCTTCACTAAAAAAGATGAACTACATCTTTCTTCCTCAATAAGTATATTTTGTGCTTATTTAATCAAGTAGGAATGGCTACATACGTGATCCAACAATCATACAGTTGCTTTTTGAAGTTTCTCAAGCCCTTCATGATGAGATAGATTTTGCAAATGTGAAAGATGATAAACAACGGTCAGCGCGACTTATTTCTTGTTTTGTCCAGATGGTAACTAATTTCATTTATGTAATTTCTTCCTCTCATTTATGTTAATTTGATTGATACATATTGCTCTTTACTATTAGGTTGACTATGGGGCAGAGTGGGAACGGCATTTAACCTTTTTAGTTGAATGTCGAGAAGCCTTTGGTAACATCAATGAGCTTAAGGTATGGTGTTGTCTTTCCTTCTTTTTGACCCACCATCTGCCTTCCCCATATATACTCTAAATCTGCAGGCCATGTGTATGAGATTTGCAGACACACATATATTCTGTATGCACATATGCATTAGTGGAGAGAGAAAATTCTTAACCAGTTTCCATAATCACTGAGATTTTTCCTGACCAGTATGCCAACCGAAAAAAACTGCAAGATTAAAATTCTTTTGTATGACTTGTTTTAATGTGCCTTTTTTCTATACTGGATGTTCAAACATTATTGTAGTGCTATGTTTTCTCTGCCCTATTTAATTTATTAATTTTATATGTCTTGATAGAGTTCTATGCATGCTATATTTACACTTGCTATTTGCAGGAAACTCTTGTTCATTCAAGCAATTGTTTAGCAACTAAAGCCATGAAAAGGGGAAGTCATATGAATTTTGTCAGATCTTGCATGGCATTCAGTGAAGTCACAATACCATCTATTTCTTCTCATATCAGGCAACTAAACCTATATATTGAAACTGCTGAGGTAAGAATATGACATCATCTTCTTTTGATGTAATCCTGCTTTGTGAGCTTGACCACATATTTATACTGAATCATGGTTTAATATAGGTTGCCCTGTTTGGCGGTTTAGTTTCTCATTTAGATGGGCTGTTGGATTCTGCAATTGATTGCTTACAAAATGCATCCCCTACGGATGGTTAGTTTCTTTATAACTGTGAAGCACTTTTATCAAGTAGTTGCATTACAATGCTGGAAGTTGTCAGATCTGTGTGACTATTTGCAATCAAATGTGAGGGTTTCCACTTTTCCAAGATTTACAGAGTGAATAATTGAGTGTTGTTCTATAGCAGTTTTAATGATTAATCTTGATTTAAAGTAAAGATATAGCATTTTATATAAGTGGACTAAAATGCCTAACTTTCTGTTTATTTTTTCTTTGCTTTTTCTGTAAGTCCATGGTCTTCTTCCTTTAAGGTTACTCATTATTGTGGGTTGACATTCTATTGACAATCACCCACAAATGTGCGGAGATTAAATTAAAAGCAACATAGACAGGTAGAGCCCAAAAGATTTCGAAGTGGTTCACTGATGTTCCTACTCCTTGGAGTCATTTATAAAATTTTTCACTATATGAAAACTTATCTTTTACAAATGGGGTTTTTCTTATATATGGTGAAAAGGAGAAACCAATTTCACAAGAAACCCGTTTTAAAACTGCCTTCGTTAAAAAGATATCGTACTATACTAGGACCTAATCACAAATAATAAATCCTCTGGATATGAGCCACGGCTCAATCTAGGGATCATTCTTTTTTTGTATGTTCAGTAAGGTGGCAGTTTGTCTTTTACATTAACTAATTGACTTGGCTAATCTGCCCTTATAGCCTTGAGATCACCAACTGATGTGGATGGCCTAGTGTCCTCCATACGAAAATTGCTCAGCCTCTTGGTTATGGTTCCAGGTAATTTCAAATTTTTTAATTATTTTTTATGTTTGTGATGGCAACTTATTTGAGGGCTTGAGGTCTTATTCTAGACAAGTTTTATCTTATGTAAGTTTGATCTCTGGCACTTCGGTCAAATGTTTGGTGCTTGCAGATTTGCAGATTTGTTATACTTTTCTCTGCTGGATCTGGACTCAGGAGGACCTATTTTCCTTTTTATTGTATTTTGTAGGTGATGGAGCATTTAACCGTAACCAAATTTTCTAACTTAATCATTTTTTTAGCTTAGGCATTGACTGTATGGGCACATTTCTATAATAAAATGCTTTGGAATTTGTCCTGTGGGATAGTGAGACTTTTGTTGAAGGGTCATGTGTGGCTGCTGAGAGTGTGGAGATTTCCTGTCTCTACTTTATTGCTGATACTATTCTTTATTATCCCACACTATTCCAGCTTTTCTAATCCATCACAATCGAGTCGCAGTCATTTTGGCGTGCCTTCCTAGTATTGCATCATGTTATCTTTCTCATTTTATGATTCCTAAGGTGATATATGGAAGAAATCTAAGATTTATTTATAAAATTGACACTTACTATAACTAAATATGATGAAAATCTTATATTAAATGGTAAAAATTGAGTTAATATGAAACTGAAACAATATATTTCAAATTCCACTAATTTTGATGGAAGTCTAATGTATTTTTCCAATTTTAGACCTGGAATTCCATATTCTTAATTTTGTCCCCTCATTTTAATGCAATTTACACATTCTCTTAGCTAAACGAGTGCGGATTTGCAAATGAATTTCACATCATTTTAATTTGTGCCAACCATAACATAAGGGAGTGGCTGAGAATCTAGAGAGTGATGAGGAATTGTCTTTGTTAGGTGTGGATGAGTCCTTGAGATATCATCTTGGTTGGATAAGAAGTTTTCCATTCCAATTAAGGATGTGAAGGAGGGGTTATGAGCATTGAAAACTTTGTTTATAAAAACTTGTCTTTGTTGACTAAATGATTTTATAACTTTTTTTCCTTTGGAACCTCACTCTATGTGAATAGGGCAATGAGGGTAAGTTTGAGCTGCATCTGAGATGGGATTTTAAATCCATAGTAGCCATTTCTCAAAAAGTCCCTGGAAAGCCATCTCTCAACTTTATGACACATTTTTCCCCTTTTATCAGATTGAAGGTAGGAGATGGTTTTTGTATTTTGTTTTGGAAGAATTCTTGCTTCATCATATCTCTTTAGTTATCCATTTTCCACACCTCTACAACCTCTTCCTTCGCAATAGTAGTCCTATATCTTCTTTCCTTATTCATAATGAAGGTTGTATTGGAATGTTTTCTCCCAAAAAAAACAATTGTGAAGCAGATGGTATCTTTCTTTGTTTCAGCTTCTTGAGACTCTTTTCCTTTCTTTCTTCTAGTCCTGGCAGTAAATTTTGGTTTATTTGTTGGATAGCTATAAGTGCAATTTTTCTTTCTACCTTATTTAACTCAGAATCCACAGTCCTATAAGTTTTCTTGATACCTCTTTTGGAAGGTCTTCTATCCTATTAGGGTTAAGTTTTTTTTTTCTTTCTGGACGAAGGTTCTTAGTAGACTCAATACTAATCATTTGCTTCAAGCTTGCAGGCTGAGTTGTACTTTATTCCCAAGTGTGTTTGTGATGTGCTTTTGTGCTGCTGCTGAATCTCATAGCTGGACATTTTTTACTATGTGACGTAGCTTGTAGGCTGCTTTCAAGTTATTTTGAGACCTTTGTTTTTTGTTGGGTTGCTGCTCCGAGCCTTGAGCCCCTTTTTACTTCTTATTTTCATGTTCTTGTAAGAATAAGGACAGATTGCTGCAGAGTTTGACATTTGTGGGTGTTCTGGTTGGAGAGGAATACTACAATCGTTAAAGTTTATAGTTCTTTTTCTTTGTTTCTTTGGAGAAGATGACTTTTCTTGAATATCTGTGGGTTAAGGCACATGAGTTCTGTGAGGATATTATTTTCTCTATCTTGCATAGAAATTGACCTGCTGTTTTTAATTGATTTTATTTTGTTCTCTTGGCTTTATATCTTCTTTCTTTTTTTGTTGTTGTTGGAGGAAGCCAAGTCCTCCGTTGTCTTAGCTTCTGTCATTTTCTAATAGTAATTCACTTTTCATTGAAAAAACATACTGTTCAATTTAAACTTAATTTATGTTTCAGTTGTTCTATTGTTATTGCCTGTTGTAACGTGAAGCAAAATTTTTGTTTCATTGATCCTGCCTAATAAGAATTGAACCAAAACTTATTCTTTCGTTGGTCCATTATAGCATAAACTGACCTGATATATTGCAGAATCCGAGGCCAAGCATAATGATTCGTGGTTCTACTGTTAATTTAAATGCTAAATTTGTCTGTCAAGTCTATGATAGTCATATAAGATACATCTTTAATTACTTCATTTTTAAGATGGAAATTTTCATTTTGATTTTTATGTTTTTTTTTATTCAAATGGAAGGAAATCCTGACAAAGGAGTTATGTACATCCCAAAAGACATACTATCTGTCATCCGTTCTCAATCATGGTAAGGATTTAATAACTGTTACTTTTTAGTCAATATTCTTTCTTGTAGTTGTCTAATGGCTTATGGCAACATTCTAGGATGACAGTAAGAATGAAAACAAGGATATTTTGCGGCATAGTTTTATTATTGGCAGCACTTTCTCAAAGGAGGCTTCCATACCATGCAGGTCATGCAGAGGTATCTCCATCCATCCACTCAAAAGTTCCAAGTTTCAGGTTTTTAGAGAGTTTCAGGCTGTTTTGCTTCTCAAAGGATGACCAGTAATTGAGTAGTAAAGTCCAATGAGACAGCTAGGAATTAGAATTCATTTTCCAAAAATTTCAAGTTTGGGGGTGGAACGGATTTATAAGTGAACTAGAATTCCTTTTCCAAGAATTTCAAGTTTGGAAGGGACAGATTCATACGTAAAAAGATGATCTATTTCTGTATCTCAAACATATGTTAATAATTAAACAAAAGCATAATGATAAAAGTTTAATAAAAGTTAATGCTATTTTGGATAAAAATTTCATTCCAAAGGGATGAAAGTTCAACTTGGATTTCTCTTTAAGTTGAAGTTTCATGTTTTGTAATCAGAATATTCTCTCTCATAACTGAACTAACTATAGATTTTCAAATGAATTCAACAAAAACTGTTCACAATTGAATATAAATTTTCGAGCAAATTTCACAAAATAGTTTATTTATTTTGAAGTATACCAGAAACAAATGGTGCCTTAAATTCAAATATACAAATATGACATCATCTTGTCCTGCTCCTAATGGATTTCATATTTGATTCTTTCAGATTATGGGCAATGACTACTTGTTCTTTGGTGATTCATCTTATGTCCATGAGCTTACTTCATTGACTGAAGTTATTCTTCAGAACCTAGTTGATATGATTGAACAAGAGCCTTCACGGGTAACTGTTGCTCTACTGTTGTGAATTTAGTTTTCCCTTCTTCTCTTACATGCCAATTTTAATTGCTGGACCTAGGTTGTTCGTGGAAGCACGGCACTCGAAGCCTGCAATTGCATAGCAACGGCCCTTAAAGTATGTTTCTCTGTCATCAATCAAGATTTTTTCCCTGGTTAGTTAGAAGATTACTTAAATTTACTGCTACCATGTTGGATATGGATTAGGGACAACAGACTTTTTCTTGCATTATTTTCATCATAGGCTATGTTTGGAACAACTTTGAAATTTATAAAATTCATTTGCAAATTTATACCTAACTAGAAGATTGTGAAAATAATCTTTAAATTATAAAAATATTTTGATAGAAATCAAAATTCTCTGTTCTTATTCTACATGGAATTCTATATGAGATCAATTGTTATCATAATCAAAAATAGTGAAGATACTCCTTAAAATTATAAAAACATATTGGTTAAGTGTATATTTGCAAATGAATTTCATAACATTTCTGAACTTGTTCAAAACCTAGCTAAAACATTTTTTGGGCTAAACATATCCTCCCTGAAGATGCATCTTGTTGGCTCTTATTGCTTTTCCGTAATCTGATCTATTCTCCTCTGCCACACCGATATCTTACATATTTTTTCCTCAAACTCCATTCCTTTCCAATGTTGCAGACGAATCACAATGTATCGCTAATCTGCTCCAAATTGATTGAAACTGCCAAACTGTGCCTGAATACCAAGGACAAATATCTGCAGTGTACCATTAAATTTCTAGACAGGATGTCTGCTTCTTCTGTTGGGACACGTCCTCTAATCCTGTGATGCTTCGGTGAAGGTCTATTAAGATGTATGCCAAGTTAGGTGAATGTGCAGCGTGAGTTGGAGGAATACATTATACATACTACAGAAGAAGATTGCCGAAGAAATGTCTTTTTTTTTTTTTTTGGTTTTTAGGTCTTATAAATATTCATTTGATTCTTTACTGTAATAATTCATTATTCTTTATAGAAAGATTAACTCAAGAATTGTAAGCCTTAATAACTTTTCATTTCTAGGTGTAATGCATTGTAGTTCTCTCTCAATCACCCCGGTGCGTAAGCTATAGTACCTTTTCATTTATACATATAATGCAATTATAGTTCTCTCTCAAACCACCCTCCCCCTCTCCCGCCCCCCACATTGAGTATGTCAACCAACATTGTTGAACACAGATAAATCGAGATCATGGCTGGTGGAATGAGATGATTGTTTGTTTTCTTTTCATTAAACAGCTGAACAGGCAAACCCTAAATCAGCGGTCTGAGTACTACAGAAGTAGTATTCGAAGGCAGATGTCCTTTGTTCGGTTTGAGTGACATATTTAAAATCTTTGAATGGTTTTATAGATTTTTTAAATTTCTTGTCATTGAAATTGTGCTTAAGAATTACAATTACTTGGAGGTTCTGTTTAAGTTTTGATATTTTTATTCAAAAATTTAAAATGGTTCTATTGCTTTTTGAAAGTGAGATTAAAGTGGAAGTGTTAATTTGATCATTTGTACTTAAACGTAGACTATGCGATCTTATGTGCATTTAGAAAGTAATAATTATAACTGATATAGAATAATAAATCAAACTAATCTAAACATTTAACACTACAAGAAGGTACTCTATCCATAATATTTAAGAAAAAGGTGTGAATTATCGTATTAATTTTTAAATTTTAATATTTGTTGTAATTTAATTTTTAATATTATTTTTTATTACGATTGATCTTTGACATTTTTTATTTATTTTAATATCTATTTTTCTTCTAAATTTTGATTTAAAAAAAATTAAAATTGTTGTCTTACAAAAAAAAGTTAAAACTTGTTTTAATATTTCAAAAAATAATTTCAATTAATTAAGTTAAATTGATATTAAAAATAGTGTTTTATCTTTTATTGCTATTAATTTATGAATTTAAATCATCTTTAAAATTAATTTTGACTTAGTTTTTAAAATATTCAAACATAGTTCAATTATTTTAATTTTTTTATGTTAAAAAATAGAAAGAAATTAGAAATTTAAGACTACATCAGCAAAATAAATTGTAACAAAAAATATTAGAAATTAAATTATAATAAATATTTAATTGAAAAAATTAATTTAATAATTTTATCAACAAAAAAAAATACTATGTTAGTTGCTCCAATTTCTCTTTTGTTTGGTAAAAGAAAACATTACAATTATACATTCTAATATTTGAGACTAAAACTCGTCTATCTAACAAAATTGCAAACTAATAAAAATATTTCCAAATGTAACTGCACTGCACCAATAACAACTCGCCTTTTTTTTATCTTCGCCTTTTTCGGTTCACAAAACGGTGTCGTTGCCTCGTATACTTGGTTTCCTCTTCTTCTTCCTCATCGTCCGCAGCCCGAGGGACGCTGACAGATTATATCTTCCTTATAAGAAATCACCAAATGAGCAAGTAAGCAAATAGCTCTTCGACAAATCTCTCTCTCTCTCTCTCTCTCTCTCTCTCTCTCTGCACGCAAATCGAACGGCTCAAAAAACGTCTATGGATCTAGAGGTAGTCGGCCGCCACGCTCTTCTCTTTGACGATGATGCGACGGCGGCGTTCGTGAACTCTACAGCTGCTCTCGTTGACTGGAACTCTCTCCTCATCGACCGTTACGACGTCCGTCACCTGCTTTCCTCCCCGCCACCGCCCCGTTCAAAGCGCCGTCCGATGAATCCCGGTGACGTTGACTCCCTTGAGTCGGAGCTCGATCGGGAGCGTTACCTCGACTTACCTCCGGAAGTACCGTCAGCGTCCGATCAACAAGGTAAGAAAGATTAAGAAAAAGGAAGTTTTCTCTATTTGTTCGTTTTCTATGGATTTATGCGCATAAATGAATTTAAATTTGAAATTAGCATCTGCTAATTTTTTATCGCTGATAACAGGATTGAATATTTATTGCATTCCTCCAATAGCATGTCTTATTTGCTTAACTGCTGATGTTGTATGCTTGTTTTGTTTGTTTGGCGGAGAGGAGAAAATGCTGAGAAAATTTGCTTGTCAAAAAAAAATGCCTAGAAAATGTTGACATCAGGAATTAATTTATATATATACATATATATATATATATGTAGATTGCTATGGACATTTACAAGTTACTTTAACTTAGCTCCTAAAGTTGGGATTTTAGAATTAAATATTGTTAGTTCTAAACTTCGAATACAATTTTACTTTTCTGTGTTATGAGTCGTTCTCATTGCCTCCTGTGGTATTTACAAGGACGGCGTGATTAACATTTATGAGACTAGTTGCAGATCTGGGTTTAGTTGGTCAGATTAGGAACAAGTGAATTCATTGATTTTGTGAGCAGCTAACTAATTCCTGATGGATTCACCCTGAGATCATGAACATAGGGTGAAATAAGATGGTTTTTTATTTAAACAAAGTTCATATGACCTTGATTTTTAATTTTCTTGGAGCAGATCTATTGGAAAAACCTTGCTTTGTTGCTCACATTGTACGATGCTGGTTTAAGTGGCCCAGCTTTACTTCAAAAATATGTTGTAACCCATAATGTCTTCACTGTTCCTACCCTTGTTGGTCTATTTCCAGGGGAAATGACTTATCAAATGGATTGGTATTTGGCATCCGATGGGTGAAATTATTTGCTTGGTTTTAGTCTTGTTGGTGGAATAGATATATGTTGGTAATTGCACTCTCAACTTAATAATTAAGATCGTTATTGGGTGCCTAGAAAAGAGGGGAAAAAGAAACTAACAAAAGTACATAATATCTATTTTAGAGTTGCAGTCCTACTTTTCTCGAGATAGTATCTTGCATTGATAGGAGTTACTTCTATTTTTGTAAAATTTTATACTCTTTGCATATGCATTACTTTTCCAAGATTGCAGGAGGAATCTAGTTTTGCTACAGTTTCATCTTTCAGAGAAACAAGTAAGAATGTCCTTATTCAGTATGTAGCTTCTTTCATCTCAATAAGTAGTTGGAGGACGTCCTTACCCTTAGCTGCTTTTAAAACCTCAAAGTATTAGTTACATATAAAATCTAGTTTATTTGACCTTTCTTTCTTTTCCAGATATAGATGAAGGTACAAAACCTGCAAATGCTAGTGGCTACCATGCTGTTGCCTTTCCATATGGAGACTCTGGCAATTCTGCTGATCAGGGAACTACTAATATTGAATCTGGTTTTCGTCCACCTTTCTCGGTGCCTGAAAGTTTACTTCAAAACCTAGTAAGTACATGGTCTTCCACTTTCTACTAGCTAGTTCTTTTTGATGGCAACTAGAAGAGTTGTTTGTTTGGTACTTAACCTATGTGGCGAAATAATACCTGTGCAAGTTGCATGTGTTTTTCTAAGGCTTACCATGTCTAAGTTTCAGATGCTCGGAGCAGAGATGGAGTTTCTTGTGACCCAAGGTTGCCATTCGCAGGCACCTTGTTTCCTTTTGATGTCATGACAAAAGGCGGTGCAGGTGGGATTAGGATGATAGAATTCGTTACTTTTTTTCAAGGAAAATCGATTGAGAACGAATCGGATGATACATATCTTCGTAGACTTCTGTTAATTGATCTTTATGCTTGTCTGAATATATGTGAGATTCAATGGATCTTTCTGTCAGTTTAGTAAGGGATCTTTTTGTTTATAAATATCTTAGAGTTTAGCAGTTCTTTTAATTTCTCGTTATTAAGAAAGACACTTTCGTTTTTTTGTTGTTTCAGCCTCCAACGGAGAAGGTACACCAGATCATTGCAAGAACTGCAATATTTGTCAGTAATCATGGTGGGCAGTCAGAAATAGTTTTGAGGGTCAAGCAAGGAGACAATCCAGCATTTGGGTTCTTGATGCCCGATCATCCTCTTCATGCATATTTCAGGTTTCTTGTTGATCACCAAGAACTTTTGGGAAGCAAATCTCTGGAAGAAGAGAATAGTCCTGAAGGTGGGCTTGACCAAACAAGTGGTGTTGGAGGTGGTGGTGCATTGTCCTTGCTGGGTTCTGTATATGGGACTGGAGAAGACGAGGATCCTACAACTGAGATTATGCCAGAAGATAAGACAAAGTATTCTGAGGTATCTATTGATGCTGCTCATGGAACCAATTCTAATGGATCAGAACGGGTGGAATCTTCTGCAAATGTGACTCAAAAAGATGATGCGGTTTCCAAGAATTCACGTCCTTCTTCGAATGATAAATCCTTAGTCATTAAACAGAATCACTCTTTGAGTACAGTTAAGGCTTCCAGTACAAGTAGGAGGAAAAAAGAAAATGATACCTTGGCTTTGCTTTCTACTCCTGCTGATAAATTACAATTTTCTGCAAAGGCTGAACTAGCTATTGTAGAGCCTCCATCTGACATAAAGAGAGTGATTGATAAGATAGTTGAGTTCATCCTGAAAAATGGTAAAGAATTTGAGGCAGTTCTTGCTGAACAGGATGTGAAGCATGGGAGATTTCCGTTCTTGTTGCCATCCAACTTATATCACCCTTACTATCAAAAAGTTCTTCAGAAGGCTGAAGAGGTTCGTTATTTTTATCATCTTCAACATCTATTATCTATACTAATGATCCTGTGCTTCCCATGTGCCTGCCAATTTGTGTCTGAAAAGCTTGCTATGACAATTAAGCTTATTGGACTACATATAAATATTTGATATACAATCCTCCGAATCTAAATAAGCCTGATTATAATATCTTTTAAGAATTTGTCTTATTTTTCTAATTAGGAAATAGTACTTTTTAGAAATTTTGAGTTATTTTTAAGAAGTTTAGGAAACTTCGAATGTGTTTTTTTAGTTATTTTTAAATTTAAGGTTAGAACCTATATAAAGGTATCTATCAATAACTTGTGTTTTTCCCTTTAAAGTCTTCATCTTTATTCCGCCTTTTTCTTTCCCCTCTATCCATTCTTCTATTCTCTTCCTCATATTTACCCTATTTTCTCTACATTTTAGGATAATTTTGGTTCTATCATTATTTATTCTACATGAATTAGTATCAGAGCCACAATCTTATCCCCATCTCTTGTCAACTTTTTTGTACAAATCAATAAATTGCACAAACACTAGCGGCTAGCATTTCTTCTTCACCCTAACTATTTTTCATGATTGAGACACCACCACCACAAAAACAAGAACAAAGGCCTCCGCATGGCCTCCTATAGACAATCTCACTGTTAGTTGCTGCCAGAAGCTTCAGCACGTGCTGTGCCAAGCTCTTCTGTAGCGGCAGGTGTTGCTACGATTGGCAACCTCTTCAGCATTGGTCAACCCCATAGTTGGGAAGAAGGGCCATACTTTAACTTCTCCTATTGGCCCAGATTAAAGACCTACTAAGTTGAAGCTACAAATGACTCAAATACTTAACATTTGGAAGACAAAGCCTGAAGAAACCGCCCAATGCTCCATAAGGCAACCTTATGATCCTCAAAAATTCATTTAGTCTGCACAAGGTCTTCTTCCTACGCATGGACCTAGAAATAATGCTTTCTCCCTTGAGTCAATCCTGGGTAATTTCCTTAGTTATCTTAATTAGATTCCACAAGATAGGAGTCTTTTAGACAACAATCAAGTTGAATATGACTCGTTGGAAATTCCCCATAGGCAATCTATTCTTGAGAGAATTCCACCTAGAAATGCTACGCAGTTACCACCACTTGCTAGGCAGCAATGCAGACCACGTAGAAGTTACAAAAAGATCCATGTAAATGTTTCTTCCTTTAATGGTACCTTGGATCCTAGTATTTTCTTGGATTGTTTAGATACCTTAGAAGATTACTTTGACTATCATAACATATCTGACAGAGTGTGTTAGGTTTACCAAAATGAAGTTGGTAGGATTTGCTAGAAAGTGTTGGCAATCAATCTGACCAAACTTAGAGTGTATAGGGATACAAATATCACATAATAGGGAGTTACAAAACGAAAGTTGAAAGAAAATACCTTCTTGCCTACTATTGCAGTTGCTTGTTTGTTAATATAGCTGGGTACATAACTCGGTTTGAAGAACTCTGCTTAGGTCTGACTTGAAAAAGACATTACGTCACTGTTTGTGGATCCATTAATGATCTAAATATAGGAATGGAAAAAGAAAACTTCCTTGTAGTCTCCTGAACATTTAGAAGATCCTACAAAAAGCAGTAGAAGTATTTCAAATTTCCTAATACTCGTCAAGTTTCATCTTTCATAGGAACGTAGCTCAGTCTTTAAGTCTTTTTCCGAGTCCATTTCTACTACTTTACCCTTCTTTCTCTCAAGCTTCTAATTTTATCATTTTTCATCCCCTTGTAGGTTTCCTAGTGCGTCCCATGGTTCTTAAGTTCAGTGCCATGGTTGTCATGATTACTTCTACGTGTCCTCGCATGCTTTGGCTGTAGAGCAAAAATTTTAGGTGTAACACAATTTATTGATCCCATTGAATAGTTACGTGACAAAGATGAGTTTGATAATGAAAATAATGTTGTCCCTATTTCTCTTGCTGCCTCCCAATTTGTACTGTTCATGATCCTTATTAGTCTTTTGGAGGTTCAAGTTGCTAGACATTGTGATCATATCCTTTTCCCTACCATAACCTGGAAACTTCTCATACATCCCCTAGCATGCCAAGACCTTATTTTTCTTTATTCTTCTATTAAAGAGTCTTTTCATTTGTGATGGTTAGCAAGAACTCTTTGCGTTTGCACCTTCTTGGCCCATTCTCAATCCTTCAGAAATATGGATTTACTGCATATTTTCTTGTTGTAACTAGCCGTATGGATATTGACTATCACCTTATCAAGGTTTCTTGGAGCCTCTTGCATGTTTTCTCACATTTGTGCAGGCTGTGCTAAATCTGAGCGTATGCTGCTGTTAACAAGTGAAATTGCAGCCATATGGGACAATAATGTTGTTACCACCTTCAAAGCATTTTCCATGAGTATCTTTTTGAGTGGAAAGATTGTCCCAACTTTTCTGCTATTTGGATTGATGAAGATTATTGTGCACTTTGAATCACAATCCTTTAGCTATTCATTTGCATTCTAACTCGTCAATGTTGAGCTCTTTGCAAGTGGAAGAGAATGATGTAGAACTTTCTAAACCTTAAACAAGAATGCTGATTATATACTTTTTGAGAAAATTGTTTTGACTTTCCTAGTTAGGAAAATAGTCTATTTTAAGAGATTTGAGTTATTTAATTATTTTAATAACTTTTGGAAACTTCAGATTTGTTTTTCTATTAGTTGTTTGCTTTTTTAATTAAGTCTTCGACCTATATAAAAGAGGTTTCTGCTAAATAACTTATGTTAAGCTTGGAATTGATAGTTGTCTAGTGAATTTATTTCACAATTTTATCTAGTATTTTTTTCTCTCTCTTGTTCTTCTTGCCTACCTAATATTCTTTTTTCCTCTAAAACCTTCACCTTTATCTCAGTTTTTCACCATCTATCTATCTATCTATATATCTACTTTCTATTCTTTTTTTTTTCGAAAAGACTATCTATCTTCTTTGTCTTTTTATATATTTTTCTTTATTTCTCTACCTTGCAGGATAATTGTGTTTCTATCGGTACTTGTCCTGCACCACATTTAAGATGAAATATTAAAAATTTGATGGTATCTGTTTGGTAGACCTTACCCATAAAATGTTTTATCCTAGCAAAAAAACACAAACTATTTAATGTAATGTGGTTTACAAATCCTTTAAGGCCTTGATTCAGTATGATTGCTTTTTTATTTAAAATTGTATCTAAAACTAACAAAAACTATCTAATTTAATGGTGGTTTACATTTTTCTTTATGGCCTCTTGAATTGCAAGTTGATTCTTTAACTTTAATATGCTTGGTAGGAGTCATGCATGATGAATCAATTGTTACAGTTAAGTATCATGGCATATTGATTTGAATTGGTTATCATGATGTTTTGGTACAGTTTTATTTGGTGCTAATAATTGATCACATGATATCAGGGTTTAGATCTCTTGAAAATTGTTAAATTTACTTCGAAGTATCTTCAATTGAATAGTAACTAGAATTATATCCGTGATTGTTCTTTCATCTGCAGTCAAAAGTACAGGGCAAGGGCTTAATTTCTGAGAAGCAAGACAAGAAATCTGCTCCAAAATCGAGAGAAAGTGATAATCATTCATTAGGATCTGACATACCATATGATCCGGACCGGAAGGAGAAGTTTAAGATGGTGATTGGCAAGCCAAAGAAGGAGGGACAAGACGTACCTATCAAGTCTGCCCAACCACAAGTTGGAGTCAGTGTGGATGCTGCTGCTGCAGCCGCCATTCTACAAGCTGCCACCAGAGGAATTAAGAATCCCAAGTTAGAAATTCTATCAAAGACATCTTTACAAGGCACAAGTCAAGTGCCTAGCAGTGAGGGTGGACAAGCCTCAAGTTTTAGCAGTCACCTTTCATCTCAGCCTCACAGTTGTAGGAAAAAGCAGGATCAGAGTGGAGAGCCATGTGTTTCAGTCCCTGTTGCTAAAGCTATTGCAAAAACAGCAGCTATTGTAGCTGCAGACGAGGCTGATTCTTCCGAA